TGCAACCTGAGTGGAATGGACAATTCCCAAACAGGGCACACTCTCCATGGACTGGAGGAAACAGGAGGACCCAACCGTCCTAACACGGGAGGGAAACCCACTACTGATTTCCCCACGCTCATTACACTTGTGAACCCTTAACTGACCTTAAATTACTTCTCCAAAAGAAACAGGAGAGCTAAGGCTCCACCTGGCCAGGAAGAGAAATGCAGACAGCTTCAACCTGAGTCCAGATCAGGCCTATATAAATCCAAATTCAATCACTCAAAATAACATATTTTCTTGCATTCCCAAAGAAATAAGGTCCATTTTTGAAGGACTGTTAAAATTAGGAGTTATAGTTCTGTGTATCTTAGAGTTAATCCTTTTACTCATCAAATTTTGTACTTATTGTCTGCATTTTATTTTAAAAAGGCCTCCCCAGCTCGCATGATGATTGCCAAGACGTAAGAGTTCAAGGTGGGACTCATAAGTAGTTACATTTAAGTGCAAAACAATTTCATTCCTCTTATAAAAATCTAAGCCCTTTAATCAGCAGGGAGCAGATAGGGCGGTCTTGCCCTCTTTCCCTCAAGACTGAGGAGGTGTACAAAGACAAAGGAAACTGAAACAGCATGTAAAACATTGACCAGGGGCTTCCCTGGTGACGCAGTGGTTAAGAACCCGCCTGCCAATGCAGGGAACATGGGTTCGAGCCCTGGTCCGGGAAGATCCCACATGCCGCGGAGCAACTAAGCCCGTGCACCACAACTACTGAGCCTGCGCTCTAGAGCCCGTGAGCCACAACTACTGAGCCCGCGTGCCACAACTGCTGAAGCCCACCTACCTAGAGCCCATGCTCCGCCACAAGAGAAGCCACCTCAATGAGAAGCCCGCGCACCGCAACGAAGAGTAGCCCCCGCTCAACCCAACTAGAGAAAGCCACGCGCACAGCAGCAAAGACCCAACGCAGCCAAAAATAAATAAATAAATATTAAAAACAACAACAACAACAACATTGACCAACTTAAACTGGTTTGCCTCAAATAGGTTGTTGATTCATCAAACTTTGAGTTATTTTAAAGACGGCACCGTGCATGTGCTAGACAGGAACCCATGTCTCCAGGATGACCCCAGAACAAAGAATCTTCAGTCTACGAACTTAAAGAATAGAAATGTTGCCACCAGAGCCCTTTACAAAGAGAAGAGTCCTTAAATGAGGAAAATCTGGCTTCTAGCAGCTCGAGTAGCTTATGTGGACTGACTTAAGACTAGCCAATCAGCTTATTCCCCCAACCCCTCACATTTCGCCCCAAACCCTGGATCAGGGAGACAGATTTTAGCCCTGCCTCCTGCCTCCTTGTCAGTCAACCTCGCAGTAAAGCTCTTTCATTTCTCAAAAGCCCGTGCCATAGTATTGGGTGCTATGTGCATCAGGCAGTGAGCCCTTGCTTGGTAACAATAGATTTACTCTCCTTATTTCTGAGGGAAATATTGTGTTAAATTTCAGACATAGGGAGAAATTAGAAGACAGCAAAAGATGGCACTTATGTAAGAAGAAGAAGGGAAACTAACACTCAGCGAGCATCTATGGACCGGGTAATATGCAGGGCACATTGCATGTATGATTTCATCCTCAGTACAGGATAATACTGATGATAATAATAATAATACATATTGTTATTCCTATCTTTTGGAAAAAGAAATAAATGACTTGCGAAGTCATCTGTGTGGTAAATGAGCAAAGTCAGCACACAAACCTGGGTCTGTCTGACTCAGATGCTCACACTCTCAACAATACCCGGTGACTTGGACAGAAAGCCTTCCCCCAGCCTCGCATTGCTTTCCCATAAAATCGTGTTACAAAATGGACCCAGAAGGAATGTTGAAAATAACAATGAAGGTCCTTGTGAAAGGGAGCTCCACTCTTATCCTTCAGAGCCTGCCTTATCCATACCCTTGTCAATACCCTTATCAATATTACTCCTCTATCTTCAGCCTCAGTACTTCTTTTGCTCAGAACCTCCCTTAAGTCCTGCTGGGAGTGATATTCAAGAGTCAATAAATGGCGGGCTCATGTATCAGCCGTCAAAAGATGTTGGGAACCCCTCATTCTACCACCACAGTATTTTTAGACTGAAAGCCTCTCTGATGTTCTACAAAGAACAGGATTAAAATGGCTACAACTGCACAGCTTCCAAGCAAAAGCTTCAGAATAAGCTCCCTTTCTCTGTGTAAACAGATGTCCAGCCCTCCCTTCAGCAGAGGGCCTCTGTGGGTCATCCTGAGCCCAAAAAGAGAAGAGGAAGTATATAGCAGATGCTTGCATCTCTCTGCTCTGTTAGCAGCCTGTTTTTCATGACCTTTTGCACCTTCTTAGTGTGACAAGACACATAAACGACAAGCAAGTTCTCTATGGCCAGGCTGTTTGGAAGGTTTAACTGGGTGGCAATTGTGTATAGTTACTGTACTTTATGCAAACATAGAGGCTGGTACTCTAGTTCTATAAAGAGAATCTTCTAATTACATCATGGAGGGAAGGAAGGTAGGACAGGATTCTTCAACTTGGAGCACTTTCAACCTTAGGCTCCTGACGAAAGAGGCTGCTGAAGCCAGAATGCGTTTGAAACACACATTTTGTTAGTAGCAATAGTTTCCAAGAAACTGTCATCCAGTTCATTTGCTGTGTTTCAGACAAGCTATTGTCTTCCTCCCAAAAAAGTCTGGGATGTAAGTCTAGGACTTAGTTTTAGAAAAGAGAAACACTGAGTCCTCAAAAAGAAAAAACAAGTTTTAGCATGACTCGATACCAAGACCAAGTGTCTCCTGGATCGTGAAATTTCTGTTTAAGGATGTGACAGAAGGAAGCTTCTTGAGATATTTAAAATTAGATCAAGTTGACATCCACTTGACCATAGAAGAAAATATCCAAGGTTTAAAAAGAGTAGCTGGTATTAGAATAATTTTATCCCAACTCCTGCTCCTGTAATTTTTGTCATTATAAATCCCAGTTTTTTACTCTTTTTTGAAAAATTTTATTTTATTGAAGTATAGTTTACAATTTGTTAATTTCTACTGTACAGCAAAGTGATTCGATTATATATATACAGATACATTATTTTTCATATTCTTTTCCATTATGTTTTATCACAGGATATTGAATATAGTTCCCTGTGCTATACAGTAGGACCTTGTTGTTTATCCATTCTATACAGAATAGTTTGCATCTGCTAATCCCAAACTTCCAATCCTTCCCTCCTCCTCCCCCCTCCCCCCACCTTGGCAACCACAAACCTGTTCTCTATGTCTGTTAGTCTGTTTCTGTTTTGTAGATAAGTTCATTCACGTCATATTTTAGATTCCACATATAAGTGACATATGGTATTTGTCTTTCTCTTTCTGACTTACTCCACTTAGTATGATAATCTCTAGGTCCATCCATGCTGCTGCAAATGGCATTATTTCATTCCTTTTTATGGCTGAGTGGTATTCCATTGTGTATATGTACCACAGCTTCTTTATCCAGTCATCTGTCAATGGACATTTAGGTTGTTGCCATGTCTTGGCTACTGTCAATAGTGCTGCAATGAACATCGGGTGTGTGTATCTTTTCGAATTATGGTTTTCTCTGGATTTATGCCCAGGAGTAGGATTACTGTATCATATGGTAACTCTATTTTTAGTTTTTTGAGGAACCTCCGTACTGTTTTCCATTGTGGCTACACCAATTTACCTTTCTATCAACTGTGTTGGAGGGTTCCTTTTTCTCCTCATCCTCGTCAGCATTTGTTACTTGTAGGCTTTTTTTTTTTTTTTGCAGTACGCGGGCCTCTCACTGTTGTGGCCTCTCCCGTTGCGGAGCACAGGCTCCAGACGCACAGGCTTAGCGGCCATGGCTCACGGGCCCAGCCGCTCCGCGGCATGTGGGATCTTCCCGGACCGGGGCACGAACTCGTGTCCCCTGCATCGGCAGGCGGACTCTCAACCACTGCGCCACCAGGGAAGCCCTACTTGTAGACTTTTTAATGATGGCCATTATGACCATTGTGAGATGGTACCTCACTGTAGTTTTGATTTGCATTTCTCTAAGAATTAGAGATGTTGAGCATCTTTTCATATGCCTGTTGGCCATCTGTGGGTTTTTTTGTTTTGTTTTGTTTTTAGGCTGCACCGGGCAGCATGTGGGATCTTAGCTCCCCAACCAGGGATCGAACCCATGCCCCCTGCATTGGGAACGCAGAGTCTTAACCACTGGACCGCCAGGGAAGTCCCCATCTGTATGTCTTCTTTGGAGAAATGTCTCTTTAGATCTTCTGCCCGTTTTTTGATTGGGTTGTATTTTGGTTATTGTCTTATTTGAGCTGTCTGTATTTTTTGGAAATTTAGCCCTTGTCCGTTGCATCATTTGCAAATATTTTCTCCCAGTCTGTAGGCTGTCTTTTCATCTTGTCTATTGTTTCCTTTGGCTTTACAAAAGCTTGTAAGTTTGCCTATGTCCAATTTGTTTATTTTTTGCTTTTATTTCTACTGCCTTGGGAGATTGACTTAAGAAAAATTGGTACATAAATCCAGTTTTTAATATCAACCAAGTTAGTTTCAACCAAGTGTAAGTATAAATATAAAAAATACTCCCAATTATAATTGTAAGATGACTGTAAAAATATAAAAGCACCCCAATTTCAGAGATGGTAAAATGGGGGAAGAACAGTGCCTTAGAATGAAGATGAAAGGACACTTAGAAAATAATTTATTGTTTACCCCTAACATTGCTTTACTTCTTTTCAACTAATTTCTTGGTTTCTGTAATGACAAGTTAGAGAAATGTTTCAGCCAGAGGTCACTGTGTCCTGGCACCCAGGTAGAGATAATCCTTGATCGACAGATTACTTATTTTTAAAATGTGATAATACTTATGAAATCATCAACTGATAAGGATTAGTCCCACTGAGGTCTTGCCAGGCACAAGTAGGTTTCAGTGGGGTAAGGACACTTGATGAGGAGAAGACGGTGCCCGGCCTCACCTTTTCATCAACTGTACCTCCATACTCGCCTTCTTCAGCTCTGCTGTCATTTGGAGTTTGTTTATAGTTTCTTGTGCTGCCCTGAAAAGAAACAGATTTGTTAGTTTGCTTTGTATTGGGCTGTGTTCTGAGAAACTAAAAAGAAGAAAGAAGGAGGGAAAAAGGCGATCTGGCCAGAGTGAAAAAACGAACATTTTAAGAGCATCTACAGATCTCTGGTCGTTTTCTCGAAGGAACTCTTCAAAGGCCATTGCGTCTTCTTCGAGCTTTTTTTCTGCTTTCATGAATTGTCTTTCCTTCATTATTGTGTGTTTTTCAAACTTCTGAATTGTGTTTCTTTTGGTTGACAGAGCATACTAGGAATATTGAAAACAGAAGTACATCAAGAACATGATTCCACATTTCTAGCACATTTCCATGGTCTCACAACAAAGGGAAAAATAACCGGCCTGGTCTGTGATCACTTGTATTAGAAATAACAGTATGCCCAATCTTGGGGCTACAGCCTTCATTGCATGTAGGGATTTTATTTTCAGGATAGTTAGAACGGGGACTCATGCCTTTCTTTCACTTTTATAAAGAGGTTCAATGTTGTTCCAAAATGGTTCTGCAGATCAAAATAGCTACGTATCCCCTCAGGCTCTATCCTAAAAAAAGGGGGTGGTGGTCCATATCGCTCCAAAGAGCAAGTCTACTTAGTATTATTCAGTGTCCCTCCAATACTTTCTGGGCCTTGGGAAATTGGGCTGTCTGTAGCCACAAAAGCTTTCCTGTAGGAAGTACCATGGGAGAGTCAGGTTCCAGTGATTCCTCCAAGGGGGTAGGAGGGTGGGGGGGTGTTTAACCAGCCTCAGAGCATCCTGTTTAGATCCCCAAATACAACCTTGATAGCTAGCTGCTTTTTTTTTTTTAGTACATAATATAAGAATCCACTTGGGTTTTTAATGCCATGCATGAAAAATAAAGTATAAACAAAGCCACATATATTATAATATAAATGGATTAGAATATGGAAATGAGATAACTTTAAAGAAACAACAACCAAAAGTTAGATACTCCAAGTTTAAACCCCAAGATATTTCATTTATTACTTTGTTTGCCAAGTAGTTACTGAGTGCCTGGTGTGTGCCAGGTCTGTTTTTTTTTTTTTTTTTTT